CTTGTGCAAAGTGGGCGGGGCTTACATCAGTGGGTGAGGCCGCTTGTCACAGGCTAAAAGAGTGAAAATTCGGAAAAATCAAAATCCCGCCAAAAACACAAGTGGGCATAGCCAGAGTTGCGGGGCTCAGTGTGCTAGTGCACGTGCGCCGTGGCTATTATTATATTTGTTTTGTGAAGATTGAATGTGAAAAAACGACGTCGAAAAAGTTATAAAAATTCAGAACTTACGTCACTTCATTGTGAAGTGGGCGGAGTCATATATGTGTCGGTAGCAAACCTATTCAGTTAACACGTTCGCGGCGGCGCCGTTTCGCCAAAAACTTCCGTTTGTCGAGCGGCGCGTTCGCGGCGGGCGACACTCAGGCAATCGTCCCGTTTATGGTTAAGCGCGCTCGCAACGAATACAACTTCGCCAAAAACCACGTAAGTCGTCTTTTTGTCCATTCTCTTTACACCTTTTCCCTTCTACATCCCGTATCTCATTCCTGGTGAATGAACTAGGCATTTTGCCCTGTTGAAGTTGACTGGAACCGTAGAAACCGACTTTGATGGCAGAAAATTTTACGAATAATTGTCTTCAGGTCATGGATTATGATATTGACGATTTGGATCGTAGCTTCGGACATTGTATATTGGAATCGGATGACGAAGACGCGGATTTTGATGAGGCAGTCGACTTGTGTGACTACGAAGATGACGACGAGGATGATGACAGTGATGCCGAACTCCCACCTTTACCATTTTGGAGTAGCAACGTTGTTAAACCTGTCAGACCAGAATTTACAGGGAGAGAATACATCGATCTGGACGAACTCGATTCGTGTTCCAAGCCCGTTGATTATTTCTATTTGTTTCTGACTGACGAGATGGTGGATTTAATTGTACAGCAAACGAATTTGTATGGCCACCAAAAGTATGAAGGTTACAAGGACATCACACCGACTGACTTAAACACTATCATTGGTATGATAATGAAGATGGGCTACATGCCTTACCCAAAAATGGACGACTACTGGTCCACTGATAGCGCTCTGGCCGGTCACAGCATTTTCGGCGAGTTGATGGCAAGGGATCGATTCAATCAAATCATGAGATCACTCCACTTCGAAGACAATGCCAACAACTCAGGCAGCCGCCTTTACAAGATCGAAAGGTTTCTCAAGATGTTTGTAGACCGGTGCAAGCGGTTGAAGACACCAGGAGAGGACATCTGCATTGATGAGAGCCTTATCCCATTTCGGGGACGGCTTTCATTCCGCCAGTATATCCCGAATAAGAGGCACCGTTACGGAATCAAACTTTTCAAACTGTGCTCAGCTGGAGGGTATATTCACAACATTGAAGTTTTTACAGGTAAGAACGAGCTCAGGACTGGCAGTGTCGCTGAAGGAGTCGTCATGACATTGCTTGAGGATCTCCTGTACTCTTGGAGAACTCTCTATGTCGACAACTGGTATTCAAGTGTTCCGTTGGCTGAGAACCTGCTCAGTATGTCCACAAATCTTGTGGGGACTTTGAGACGCAACAGAAAAGGAAACCCGCCTGATGTCGTCGATCGTCGTCTCAAGAAGAAGGAGGTCTTCGCTCAACAGAAAAATGGAATTATGGTTATGAAGTGGAAGAGATAAAAGAGACGTCATCATGATTTCAACAAAGCACGATGCCACAAGAAATGATGCAGGCAAACCTGAGGTGGTTATAGACTACAACGCGGGGAAATCCTTTATTGACTTGTCGGACCAGATGGCCAGTTACTGCCCCTTCCAGAGGAAGACTTACAAGTGGTACCTGAGAATTTTCTTCCATCTTGTTTGCCAATGTGCTGTCACGAATGCCTGGACTCTTATGAAACAGCACAGGAGATGTAGTTTACCCATCACAGAGTTCAAGAAGGACATCGTAAGGGAGCTATTATCGAAGAATCCCCTCAAAAGAAAGAAACATTATCTGTGCAAACCCGATGGTTCAGGAAGAAAACCTTCTAGACGATGTATAGGCTGTTACAGATCTTTGGCAAAGGCACACGGCACAACTCACGCTCGCAATCATGCCCCAAGAGTAAACACGATTTGTTCCTCTTGTAAGAACCACTATTGCCTCTCCTGCTTTCAAAAAACACACAAGAAATGTTCTTAGTATTTTTTGTAATAAGCGAAATGAAGAAAAAAAATCATAAAAAAACAAGCTAAGAGGCGCGTGTACTCATGGAAGTACACGATTGGTCCTGAAGAAAAAAGTTTTCGCGTGTTTTTTTTCGGCAGTACACGCTTATTCTAATGTATGGATAACATTTCTCTATTGTTTGTTTCAGTATATGCATACAATTACTAGTCAAAAAGAAAAAAATAGCGAAACCAGCAAAGAGGCGCGTGCACTCCCGGAAAACCCGATTCGCCTTGATAAAAAAGTTTTTGGATGTTATGTCGGGTCTACACACCCCTTTTAATGTGTCTATATTACTCCTCTATTCTTTGATCAATTGTTTATATCCAATTCTTGCTG